TCCTTCACCTGCACAAGTCATAGTAAGAACTGTAATCTAAATAACACGTGACAGGATTGGTAAGGTTATAAAAGAATTGAAGTGCTATGATAATTAAGGTTTTGCCTCAATTTAGCTGTGCCAGAATTCTCGGCAGTTTGGCAGGAAAGGCATAGTAGGTGGTAGTGCTAATCACAAGGTCATTAGTTCAAACACACCAGCTACTCCAAGGGCAGAACATGGCATTATCTTCTCCATAAATGTTTTAAGTCTCAGAAATACTACATAGGGTCTCTATCAGTTAGAATGGGCATAATGACTTTGGGGCTTTTTTTCATTCTTTTTTTCATGGCCCATAATGATAGCTCATTGAAGACATGGGCCTGATTTCAATACAAGTTGATGCTGTGGAAAAGTTGCTTGCTTTTTTGCTGGATCTCTGAACTTGACCCTAGGGTTGACCATCTTTCTTGTCAATCCATCCTGTGAATTATCATTGGCTTCTCATCATATCTGCTGACCACAGATACATTGTACTCTGTAGCCACAAGCCTGCTCTGCTGACCTTGGACTCATCCCACTCTGCAGTAAGAAACGTGTCCTAATTGTCCTGCCAATCTTATGGTTATCAGCCCTTGCAGCCAAGTGAATCAAGTGCAGTCTCCAGCCTTACTATTCTAGATATGGAAATTAACCACTGTTAGAATTGTATGAGGCAATGAGGTATCCTCTGTTCTCTCTATCTGTCTCTCTATATATATACACACATACGCACACACACACAATCACCCTCACCTTCCATATCTACATATATGGAGAATAGTGCATTTGGAGTTTGTTCTACCAGGTCAGAGTGTTAATCAAGCTTTCCATTTAGAGGTTCTGAAAAGATTACGTAACAGCGTGCAACAAAAAAAGGCATGATTTGTGGCAGACAGGGGACTAGTTTTGCTACCATGACAGTCCACCTGCTCACACAGCCATCTCACTGTGCCAGTTTTGGGCCCAAAACAGCATGCCTCTCTTGCTTCATGTACCTTATTCACCTGACCTTGCTTTTTGGTTTCTGCAATTGAAGAGGGACATGAACAGACTGTGATTGGTCGATGGAGAAGAGGTGAAGAAATAAACAAGAGAGGTACTGTCAGCCATCCAAACAGAAGAGTTTGAAAAATGTTTCCAAGAATGGAATTGCAGATTTGACAAATGTATTAAGTGCAATGGAAAGTACATTGAAGGTGAAAAGGTTGTTGTTTTTTTTTAAATTAGTACATAGCTTTGGGGGGGGGGATCTGTTTTTTTAGGTATCCCTCATACATTTATATATATTAAATCATATCTATATAGCTATAGATACAGATAACTATATATGCACACACATATCATACACATTTCACTGATTTTGCTTCTCTCCCAGTTCAAGAGATGTAGCATCTCAACTCTGTGCGTCACTCCTTCCCAGTGAAATGGAACCATGAGAAGTGCATACATGTGCAGGCATGTGTGCTCAAACCCATGGGGAGAGAAAGCTACATCACAGCCATGCTTTATAATACTGGGATATTAAATCAATTAAAATTGCCAATTTATAAGCTTATTTCCTCTATAATCCTGAGAGATGCAACAAATTGAGACCCAAATGACCACTGCTACGGCAGCTATTCTGACATTTTCAACTGCATTGTAAAATCATGATCAGGTTCATGACTACAGATGTAACATGAAAAAGAGCAGCTTATGGAAAGGTACCATGTAAGAAAACCACCAACTTATACACGTCTCCTTTCCATTTTTATTTGTAATTCTGTGAATCCACGTGCAATTGCCGATGTCTCTCACTTCCACTGTCATCCCAACTCAGTGATCCTTGTGCAATCCTAAATAATCTTCTGAAGTGATGTTTGGGAAACCCAGGATGGTTTGAGTGAATCTCAATTCTTATATTAATCCGTAATGGTCCAGAACAATCGATCGAACAATGTCTACTTGATTTTCCACCGGCCTTTATATTTGATATGTGTTGACCACTTGTGCCTATGGTAATCCTTTCAGTAAATGGCTCCAACATTTACCCAGATGCAGTAGTTACATAATTTTATGTTAACATGAAGATGTATAAAAGTGTAGGGGTGGTAGCCAACCTGTCAATCAGATGACAGCTTGATGGTGTTTCCTGGTCGGTGTGACCTTCACATAAGGAGGGCCCCGGGAAACCTCCCCGTCTCTCTGCCACTGACGCGGCCTTGTTTCCCGACCTTGGATCCGCATGACTTTGCACCCGCAGGCCTGTGATCTTCCTGCCTGCTCATCATTGCACGTGGCCGTGCGAATCTGAAGAGGGACTTGTGGGCTAATCTCAGACTTACGGACTTGGGTTGAACTGGGCTGGGACGCTTTCTTGATATATAATTATTTCTTGATATAAAGCTCCTTCTTATACATATATGTGTCACTGGATTTGTTTCTCTCGTCAACCCAGCCAAGCCCACCAGATGAACAGACTAGCATACGAATGATGACTACTGTATTTCCCTGATTAAAACCATCACTGACCTCTCATTATGATTAGAATCAAGTCTAGGTAAAACCTTCTATTTTATGTTTCTCTAACTGAAACTTCTACCACTCTCTTCTTTACTTGTATATTCTGGAAATAACAAACTAAGTCTTGTGCCCGGTACATATTCTGTCCCTCTAATGTCTCTGTCTGCTGTACTTGTTCATCTCTCTTGGCCTGAGAGCATTCCCTTCCTGGCAGAACCACAGATGCCGTGTGCTTTGAACTCTACCACACCATCTGCACGAGGTGCCTGGTCCTCCTCATTCAAATGGCATGCAAGCATATTCTGCAGCATTCTCTACCCTCTTTTCTCCCTATTTAAATCTCTAGTATTATGAATATAAAAAAGCATATAGGTTTTATTTGTTTTGTTTATTGTCTCTTCTTTGCTGCAAGGATGTGAATTCCATATGGTTGGACATAGATTTTATGTTTCATTCACTGCTCTTTCTCATGTCTCCATTTTCTAAAGTTTATGCACAAATAGATGACTGGATATGAAAATCTTCCACACCACAGTATATTAAACTGCAGGTCTATGTGACAGCTTTTTTCCCCCTTCAGCATTAAATTTCTTGAGGAAAGAGCCTATGCTTTTTGAAATTTTTATGCCCTGGAATTTCTCACAGTGCCTCTGGCAGAATTGGTCTTCAGTAAATGTTTGGTGTATTAAATTGCATTTTAAACATACATTTATTCAGTAAAATAATAACCTTTAAATTTTTCAGGTTCATATACTTTGCTAATGCTTTGAAAATATGCCTGGGACCTCGTGCAAGTTACATAACTTTCCCGAGTTTCAGTATCCCCAAGTGTAAAGAGACAGAAAATATATTTCCTACTTCAAAGGCTTTTAAGAATAATTGCAACAATCTAGAAAGTGCTAAGCACAGATCCTGCTGTATAGATCCCACTGGTAGATGTTAGTTATGTTATTCTCCCTGTGTTGATAATGAAGAACACTTAAAAATAATGAGGAATAGAAGGATATGACAAAGGCTTACCTTCAAGAAGACAGATTTCACAAAGTGTTTAGGGAATCCTCCCAAGCGGGAAGGATAATCAGAGAGGGAAACCCTTCGACATGGGAAGTTTTAGCAGCAGGCTCCCCTTGGCTAGGCCAGAGATGCCTTTGAAGTTGCACAGGCATAATGGAATAAGGCAGCCCTTTTATCTCCTTTCGCTGGCAAACTTTCTGGGGACCAATGAAGTTTCCTGTCTATCCACACACCAACCAAGCAGTCAAGTTTAAAGAGAGATATTTATCAGCGTCTCAGATGCCTGGATAGACAAATATAACCAGACTGAAAGTCTAAAGCTCCAGTTTAACTAAATGATGTGCTTTGTTTTTGTTTTTTCCAGATAAAGGTGTTCCACTGTTCCACTATCATGCCCCAAGGTTTGAATCATTAGAAATTGTGATAGAATATATTTATTTGTTTGCATCTAAGTTGCTAGTTACATAAATTATGATTCTGCCATCGCATTTACCATTGGGCCCTGTACTCCAGACAGAGTTTCAATTCTAGCAAATAGTATCTATTTCACAAATATTTCACAAGTGATTTGTTCCATTAATTGATGATCAATTTTTGACTACATATGTTAGTGTATTTTAATGTGAACTGTATCGTTCCTGTTAACTGCTGTCCAGTTTCCTCCCAACTTGTGGAGACCCTATGGATGACACATTGATGTCATCCACAGAGATAGCATTGGCTGACTTTTCAAAAGTAGATTGCCATGCCTTTCTTCCTAGTCTATGGGGTCTGGAAGTTCAACTAAAACATTGAAGCATAATAGGGGCACACAGGCTTCCACTGGCTGAGTGGTGGTGACTGAGACTGAAGTGCAATGGCGAGGGATTCATCCACTGGATTGCCACTGAGCCCATTAAACCAATAGAGCTTAACCTTATCAAAGAAATATGCGTTATTCTAAGTTTTGTAATACATCTAACCTCAAGGTCAGCAGTTCAAACCCACTAGCAACCTAACAGGAGAAAGATGAGACTACCTGCTCCTATAAAGATTCACAACTACAGAAACCTATATATGGCCACTCTGTGTCAAAATTAACTCAATAGCAGCCTTTTCTATTGTTGTAGTTTTTAAGGATTTTTTTATAATATGGAAATCGTAGTTTTAACTATGGTATTCATTGTCAAGCTAACTGGTTTTGTATTAGCAGAGTGAAGAAATAAATACAAAGAGCTCAGTGAAATGGTATTTCTCTTTAGAGAAGTTAGATTAATTATAAGAGAGTGGGTGCATATTCATAACTAGTCTTTGCCAAATGTATGAACTTTGCTGGTTTCCCAAGTTACTAGTAAGAGTATAGCAAATATATAATACTGCAGAATGCAAACTCACGTCTTCCTACGGTTTCTGTGAGAATCAGAAAGAAGCCTACAAATAGGTAATTAAAGAGTCTTATTTAAGATTGTGTTGAGAGTACTTACCTGAACAGAAGTCATCAGAATATCTGTCATACACTGCTCGACAGTCCCTTTCATCACACTCACAGGTGTCTCCATGAATATCACCCCAGTCCCCAGTGGGGTCAACGTCATGGCAAGAGCATTCACCACACACACAAGTCCCTAGGAGATAAGATAATTTTACATGAGCCTAGCCAAGTAAAATTGTAGAAGAAAACATCTTAAATACCTTTTTTGCCCATTGCATATTTAGTTTTCAGAAAATACATCTACTCAAATAAAAATATTCTGCCAAGAAAGAAGCACCATCTAAAGCTGACGTTTCGGAACGAATAAACAAAAATTACCATCTATGCCAATAATTCTATGACACTACCTAATATGTCATATTTGCCCTGAAAAAAGCTCATAATTTAATGAAAAGAAACCTAAAGAAGAAAACAAAACAAAGCAACAGACAATAAAAATGATCATTATTATTTTGGAAAGTAGGGGATAAGGGCTCTGAGTGTTTCAGAAAAGGAGATTAAATGTGGAGTGCTCCTGAAGAGTCAGGGGGGACTCTGTGCCTATGCTGAGAGGTGGGAAACTGTCCTGAGAGAGGTTACAGGCAGAAGGACTCAAAGAAGAGGAACCAAGTTTGGGAGAGCAAATTATGAGCATACTGGGGAGTTCCGTTCATTGGAATAGAAAATTAAGAGGTTTGATAGAGCAGTTAAATCCAAATTATAGCATATATTAAAGAACGAACTGAGAGCTAAAAGCATGGCCAATGAAGATATGAATAGAGTAATGTCCAGTTATCAATCACATTTATACAAGAACGGTGGATTATCAGTACATGACTTTAGGAGAACCAGCTCATCACTGAGGGGAAAATAAATCTAAATCTCTTCCTCACTTCTTACATCAAATTTAATTTCCATTACAGTAAATATTTAAGTGTATAAGATAAACCTATAAAATAAGAAATTCCTTTTTATTCAAAACATATGTGATGAATTAGTAAGAGGAAAAGAAGCAAATTGAACTCCATAAAGAATGCAAATGTTAGGCAAGGAGCAAAATGTAATAAATCAATTTAAAAGATAACGGAAACAAATAGTTCATACATATGTAAAAGATAAAAATCAACTTCTGGAAATATACAAGACATTTCTACAAATTGATGTGTAAAAAAATCATCCCAAAACTAAAATAAGAAAAAATTTTAAAGCACCAATAGGGAACTCTCTAGAGAAACAATGATGAAAACTAAGCATGAAAAATCGAATCACCAAGTCCACTGTGAATAAGGGAGCAAGGGAAAAAGGTTAAAAGAATAATATGAAGTTAAAATTATTGGGGACTATAGGTTGGTAGAAGCCAAGAAGATTGCAGTATGCAGAACAACATCACTATACATAGAAGACCAACTGGTATAACAGGCAATTTCACTAAAGGAAATTTTAAAGACGGATTTACTATTTAGAATAGCAGTTCCCTTCAATGAATTAATGTAAATGAAAGGAAAGGCACAAAAATAAGCATAAGAATTTTAAATGTGGTGGTTAATATGTTACTGAAAAACTAAAATTAAACAATCAGTGAGGAACCACAGCATGATGATGGTCTGTTTGTTGTATAGACTTACAAGCAGTCATTAAAAGTGAAAATGATATTTTAACTTTGTGAACATGGAAACATACAAAACACATATGAGAAAACAAATTATAAATTAGTATGCTATGGGAGCAAACAGCCTCTTCTTTCTCCCTTGGAGTGGCTAATGGGTTTGAACCTCTGACCTTCACATTAGAAGTTCAATGCTGACCCAACAGCATTATTAGGGCCTCCAAGTACATATGTACCAGGATTGAATGTTTGCATTAAAAAAAGGTGAATGCGTGAATCTGGAGGGGATGGGTGAATTAAAAAGAAAGAGAAAGAAAGGTCACACACATGTAACAAAATTTAAATTTGGGGTTCTGTGTGTGTCTTAGGACTAAGGATTCTGGACCATTTCTTTTCTCTACCTACTTCATATAAAATCTTCACTTTAAAAAATTGGCATTACTTCTCTCCTAGTAGCATCAATAAAAGAAGAACTACCATCACATGCCTTCCATGAAGTTTATAAGGCATATTTGGAATGGGTCCAATGTGAATCTCAATAAACCAAATTCCATCATTGATTGGTTGAGTTTGCAGTAGCGCTCTTTTGACCTCTGAAAATGGGCTAAAAAAGAATGAGGGACCAGGGTCTCTGCTCCCTAGGAAGCAACAAGGCAGGAGTCCCTGCACAGACACCTGAGGGGCATTTGGTGACTTAAAATAAATCATTTGAATGCTTGCCCTTGATCAGTGTTCACATCTACCTCAAGCCTACTAGCTATGAGCCTCAGGCAGCCATGCTGTTCCCCATGTGCCATGGTCCGACCTCGAACACAGAAAGGCTGAGGCACTAGGTCAGGGAAGGAAGCCCAGAGGTAGACAGCTGCTGGGCACTCCATCATGCGTTTCTCTGATGGGTGCTGACCTTCTCTCCGAGCCTGCATAGCTCTGCTGCCAAACCGACCCCTAACTGACAGCCCCAACAATTCTACTTTACTCGTCTCTCTTTCTCAGTAACATCTAAATGCTGGTTTTGCAAGTAATCCAGTTCAAGCTTCATACACTGACATCATGATGGCTACTTTGACTATAGTGAATTTTAAAAGCACACATAGAAAACATGCCTTTCTAGAGTATTTGGAACCTATATTGAATTCAAATGACTTAATATGACATAGAAGTAGATCCATTCTACCTAAATTAAAGATAACGCTCTTTCACTTTTTAAATTTTTTTTCTTTTGTTGACTTTTGTTCCAAGGTCAGACCTCTTGTTTTCCTTTCTATGGGGTCAATGATGGCCAATGCTACTCCTCTAGGCAATTCTAACCAGGAGCCCTGGGGATACAGAGGCTTATGCATTAGGCTGCTTACATCAAGGACAGCAGTTTGAACCCACCAGTCACTCAGAAGAATAATGAGGTTGTCTGCCCCCATCAAGATGTACGTGCTCAGGAAGCCAAAGGGGCATCTGTTCGATAGTGTCACTATGAGCCAGCATCTACTCGGCGGCAGGGACCTGTAGTTTTCTTGTTTGTTTGTTTTCCCTTGAATGAAGTTAAGTGCAAAAATGAATCCAACTAGTTCCATGTAAATATTATTTATTCAAATGTATTATTCATGTATGCTGCTGTTTTGTGCCTCTGACTCTTTCCCAGATTTTTATAACTTGATAAAATAAACTGTGATTACTTATTTTTGTCATCAAGTAGGCGAAGAAAAGGTCCCATGAAAAGAAGAGGGCATTGACAACTATTTCCAAGGGTTTTTTGGTTTGCTTGTTTTGTTTTTTAATGCTTGATATAAACAGTAAATTTTCTTTTAATTATATTTAACAATAGTAATTTTTTTTCAAACTCTTAGGTCATTTGAAATTTTGTAGGATTGTGTTTTACCTGTTATGTGCCTGAAAATATTAAATTTGATGTGTGGTTTCTATGCTATGTTCAATATCACTTTTTATCATTGCATTCAGAAGTTAAATGAGCCTACATCGATGCTGTGTTTCAAGCAAGCCTTCAATTGACCCATAATTAAGACCGGAGAGTTTTCTGAATGCTCTCTGGATAATTATCTGCTCATGCTGTAGAAGGTTGTGTTAGTCAAGAGACATTTAACAGAAGTCTCTACAAGAATTGCCTTTTAGCTGTCCCGGGCTATTTCTGGATGGCTGCCAAAGACATTACAGTCCCTGTGTTAACTATTTGTTCAGTGAAGCTACAAGAATGATAGCAACTTTCTTATTTTTGTGTTTTCTTTTCAATTAACAAAGAGAGAGACGTGTTTGTAGAGTCAATGTTGATTTACATCAAAATAAAGGACTTTCCAAAAAAAAACGACTTCCTCTCACAGGAAAGGAAATGCGGAGAAAAGAGAAAAGGAACATTAGCGAGAGCTGTATCTTCCTCTAGATTACAGGGTAAAGTGTATGAATGACACACCTCGGTTACTGCAGATTTTGCCATCTGGAGATGTGCATCTTCGCTTGCTCTCCCAGGGGGTGATGTCGCACTGGAATTCGCATTTATCTCCATGCCAACCAGCCTCACAGTAACAGTTTCCACAGTAACACTTTCCATGGCCTTTACCCAAAATGAATTTTATACAGGGAGGGGGAGAAAAAAAGCAACTTTAAAAGGCAGAAATAACTTTCTACTTCTGTTTTGAGCATTTTCACATTTTGAAAAAACACAACTGTGCCACATCCCTTGCTTAAAATAATCCAATGATAGAGTTTGCCCTGCTAGCGCTAGAGTTGTGTCAATATGTAATCAGACAAAGAAAGTGTCCTTCAAGTTGTCCTAGCCAGGTAGGTTATTAAAACAAGAATATTTAAAAATATAACTTTGCTATCTCAGTTGGGTGTATCAAGCTGCAATGTATCTTAAGCAGTTGCTCTAATGGCATTTCTTGAATTGGCCCTTAACAGATTTCAATGGAAACCATTGTGAAACCAATGCTTGGATGCACATTATTAATGATTGAATCACTTTTTAAACCAAAGAAATATTTCATGTTTTCATTCAACTGTGTCCCACCAGCTGTTGCATTGCACCACATGGGAAACAGATTGTCAGCCAAATCAAAGTTTACTACTCATTCTGTGTGATAAAACATAATGGAACCTCAATTTAACCATCACGTTCCATTCTGTTAATGGGATACACATGAAGGGTAGCTTTCTTCAGTCCTTTGTGCCCAAATACCATTACAACCATTTTGGCTATAACTTGTTAGCGGTTTTTTTTATGTGTTGATCTAAACGTGCTCTAAAACGACACTTTGTTGGCTTCCTGAATCCATGTCTAGCAGTCCCCTTATATAGACCTAATGATTGTATTTGACTTGAAATCTATTTCTCCTCCCTTGTCTTGTTTGTAGTTATGCCACTCTGAATGCACGTCTGTTTACTTGTAAATCTGATGGAAAGTAAGGTGGTTTGTATTTATAGGCGTCTATGGCTAAAGTCCTTGCTCTTCCTCTGTCTTCTCTTACAGCCCTAATCCCCAACAGGCAATGGGAAACAGTGTGAGACCCTAAGTGCTGCAGCATCCCTGGTCAATCACAAGACAGTCAGCGGGACCCTGGGAGCTTCGTGAGAAGTTAACAATGTAAGAGTATGCTGGTGTCTCGTTCTCTTCTTGTTCTTCAGAGGAGACTTCCTTCAAGCAAGCATGCATCAGAGAGAGAAAGAGAAAGGGAAAGACCCCTACAGCGAGACACAGCGGAAGGCACAACATGCCAGGCTTTCTGGCTAAATACTCATGAGATCCACAGAAGGTCACTCCTTAACTTCATCAGCAATGACGATCGTCACAACAAATTTCATTTTTACTCAATTCACATATGCAAATCCTTTCATCCACAACACAAATATACTACCTAGATACTTGATTTGTTGTTGTTAGTTGCCACTAAGTCCCTGCTAACTCATGGCCACCCTATGCATGCTGCTGGCACAGCACGACTCCATAGGCTTTTAAAGAAAGCATCTTTCCAGGCCTTATAAGGCTCCTGGTGGATCGCGTGACAGTTGATACCACCAAGGGACTCCTACAGGTTATCTATTAGCCTAAAACTAGCTCTACAAGCACCAGCTCTACACCTGAATCAGATTCTAGTACTTCTCTCTAAACCTCAGGGATGACACTAGCAAATAAAAACTAAGACAACTACATACTGAAGCTCTTCTTAGAAGCCAAGTTTTGTTAAGACTTGATCAAAGGAGACTTCAGAATGTATTTTACTTGTCATTTCAGGAAATTTATACCAAAGGTGCTCATCTATGCTTTGGTTATAGTAATATTAACAAATGATTATACATTTACATCTCTCACCTCCAAATTCTATCTATATGCAGAAATGAGCAACATTGACCTGGAGGGTGACTAGGCAACCATTTGCATAAAGGTGAGTCAGGAAACAAAAATCAGCCTGAACTATACTTGCTTGTCAATGGAGAAAAGTAAACAAATGCCCAACTCAATTAAAAACATCACAACATGCCATCTGGATCATTGACATAAGGTATCAAATCTAAAACCATCCACATTCTGTAATAAACGCAATTCTTTGCTTAGGGTAAATTGGCAGAGCAAGGAAATCCCTCTTTGTATTGCACCACTGATGAACTGCAGCATAATCTCTCCACAGATTTATTTCATTTTAATAACAAGTGTAAAGATTTACAATCCTAGGCAATGTCACCCCCAGAGGATGTTTACTGGAGTGCTGGTGTCCTCACTCAGACTTGTACCAGGAAAACTTGCTTAACTTTCCAACAATTGGAAATAGTAAGTAGAATGAGCTAAACATTCCCTGTTCTTTTGTTCAAATGAAATGTTTATAGTTATACATACAAGTAGACTTAGCTTTGGTTGTATGCATCAGAATATGTATTTTTACAAACCGTGTTCCTTTTTTTTTGCCTGTAATAGTTATGCAGTTGACCCTTGAATATGAAGGAGATTAGAGGTACCAACTCCTTGCACAGTGGCAAATATGCATATAACTTTTTACACCTCTACTCCCCCCAAAAACGTAACTACAAATAGCCTTAACTACTATTGACTGGAAGCTTTATGGATAACATAAATAATTGACCAGTATTTTTGTTATATGAATTATAAATTGTATTTGTACAATAAAGTAAGCCAGAGACAAGGAAATGCGATTAAGAAAATTGTAAGGAAAGAGAAAAGACATTTACAATGCTGTACTGTATTTCTTGATACAGTAACTTTGTGTCATCTGTTTGCAAGAGAAATCATCTTCACGTTGAATAGACTGAGGAGAAAAAGAAGAGGTTTGATCCTGCTTTCTCAGGGGTGGAAGAGATGGAAAAGTGAAGAAAATGGACAGGGAGGCAGGAGAGACTGACGCACTCTGTCTTTAAGCAACTACCTATTTTCTATCTGACATTTTGCCCTTTCGTTTCTCTAAACAGATTTCTAGATAGTTCCGATTATTCTTCCATGGTTTGCTTTAAAGTCAGTGCCTATACCATAGAAGGGTTCTTGTTGTGAACCAAGTAAAAGGTGGTCTTCAACAAAGACCTTGCTGCCAGAGGGTCTAATGTCAATATGTTTCCTAGCACTATGTCTACGCCTCCTTTGGGCATCTGGCATGGATTCCAGAGCACTCATCTGCAATCATTGTCTTCTTTCTATTCCCATTAGCTCTTGAATTACTCCAAGGCCCTTATCTTGAAAGCCCTCACCAGTCTCCCTTCCACCTTTCCCCCATATCTACTATCTTTTCTGAAATGTCTTTGATTGGCTCTGTTGTAGATCCTGTGAGGTCACATACAACATCTGGACACAGTTTTCTCCAGTAGGATTTACTGTTGCCGTCATGATGATTTTCAAGGTGTTTTTTTTTTCCCTCCCCTCCCTGTAATAGTAATGGTATCATTAATAGTGTAATCCTCCTAGAGGTGACACGCCTTTCCCCAAAGCACTGTGTATGGTGAGCACTAAAGGACTTTATGATCCCCTGGTGTGGAGACTGAAGGGAGACCTTCGTTTGAGAGCAAATAGACCACTCTTAGGCTATTGGTGTGGAACTCATTGAGTGCTGTATGGTGAGGGCCATTGAACTTCAAAAGGTAACTCCTTAAGGGCAAGGTCATTTCTGATTTGGGGGTCAAGGATTGATGGAAGGAATCTAGAAGAGAGAAAGGGGAATCTTTGTTGTTCAAGCATCTTTGATGGCAACTGGTATTATCACCCAGCTTTCCCTTCAAGACTCAGGGTTAAAGCTTTATAAATAAGGGCAGTCTTGATCATAAACTCAACCTCATTTTCACAAAAAACTAGATCTAGCATACCCTTTGCTGCCTTAAATCCTGGTAGTCACTTCTCTTCCTTAATAATAAATGTCTCTTGTGATGTTTTCCCCCCAGCACAGGGCACTGTCAACTGTATTAAAAACCTGCTCAGGCATACAGCCTTTCCCCTCAATGATTTTCTGAATGGTGTCTGTGAACTCATTGGCTGCCTCTTAGTCATCAGAAGCTGGTCTTGACATTGGCTAAGTCAAACCTCTTTCCAAAATTATCAAACCTCTCTTTACTGGCGCTAAATTCTCCAGCATTAGATCCTTAACCTGACTTTTGCTTTAAATTGCCATATAATGACTTTGATTTACATATAATCAAATTGGAATTTAGATTCTTGTTGTTGTTGCTGCTGTTGTTTTCAAGTGCCATCAAGCAGGCACTTGACCCATAGCGACCACAAGAGAAAAAAACACTGCTTGGTTCTGCACCATCCTCACAATTGTTCCTATGCTTGAGCCCATTTATGAAGCCAGGGGGCCAGCCCATATTCTTGAGAGCCTTCTGCTTTTCAGCTATTATCCCACTTTACCACACATGATGCCCTTCTCCAAAAACTGGTCTCTGTTGACAACATGTCCAAAGGATGGAACACAAAGTCTTGCCATCCTTACCTCTAAGGAGCACTCTGGCCTTACTTCTTCCAACACCGATCTGTTTGTCATTTGGCAGTCTGTGGTACTTTCAAGATTCTTCTCCAGGATCAAAATTCAAATACATCCATTCTTACATGGTCTTCCTTATTTAATGTCCAACTTTTATTTGCATTTGAGGCAATAGAGAATGCCATGGCTTGGGTCAGGTGCTCCTTAGACCTCAAAAAAATATCCTTGCTCTTCAATACTTGAAAGTGGTCTTGTGCAGCAGATTTACCTAATGCAAGATGTCTTTTGATCTCTTGACTGCTGCTCCCTGGAGCACTGACAGTGGCTTCAAGTAAGACAACTTCAACTTTTCCTCCATTCATCATGTTACCTCATGATCCAGTTGCGAGGATGCTGGTTCTTATTCTGAGTTGTAATCCAAACTAAGACTACAATCCTTGATCTTCATCATCAAATGCTTTAAGTCCTCCTCACTTGAGCACGCAAGATCGGCAATGCCATCTGTTTGTATTCGATTATTAACAAACCTTGCTCCAAGCGTGATGCCACGCTCTTCTTCATTTTACCTTGCTTCTCAGAGGATTTGCTCAAGATATAGATTGAAAGAAGTATGGCGGCAGGCTGCAACCCTGACACACACGTTTCCTGATTTTAAGCCATGCACCATTCCCTTGTTCTGTTTGCACAGCTGCCTCTTGATCCGTGTACAAGTTCCAAGTGAGCACAGTGAAGCATTCTGGGATGCCCATTCTTCTCAAGGTTAACTACAGTTTATTATGGTTTCCACGGTCAAATGCCTTTGTATAGTCAGTGAAACACAAATAAACATCTTTCTCTGCTTTGAGCCAAGATCCATCTGACATCAGCAATGATACCCCTGTTTTACAGCCTCTTCTGAATCCTGCCTGAACTTCTACAAGTCCCCTGACCATGTCGGCAAGAAAGCCTTTTGTATAGTAATCTGGCACCCACAGAAAGGCAGAATTTTTAATAAGTGTTAAAAGTATTTTATGGGAAGTCCAAAGTTTTTGGACTGGACTAGAATAGCTGCAGCAAGGGCTTCCTAGATTTTCTTTTCTGCATTTACCGTAGTCTTAAACTAGATGGCTTTACCTGGAAAGGGCAGCCAACCACAGCTGGAGACTGCATCCTGTGGTACATATCAAGCAATTCAACGTTTTCTTATCATGCCATGACTTTTCTCTGCTCCTTGGGAGCACGCCCAGAATCAGGAGTGGCACTTTGTGGGGGTCTCGTGGTGTTGTTCAGGGTTTGCATGTTGTAGTAAATGTAGTGAAAGATCCACCAACACTGTGAAAGATCACTCTTTTCTGTGATGTACAATTCACTGGTGAGAGGAACTGAAATACGCGCATGGAGCGGGTTACCACGACGAGGAGTTGGAAGTGGATGAAGACACACTTGGACTCAGTACAGCAGCAGGAGGGAGCCACACTATGACAGCAGTACAGTATGTACTGTACAGTGTGAATGGCTATAGTTCAGCACATTTGTGCATTTGTTGCCATCGTCATTCTCAAAACATTTGCTTTCTACTTGAGCCCTTGGTATCAGCTCCTCCTTTTCCCCCTCTCTCCCTGCCCCCTTCTCCCTCACAAACTCTTGATAATTCATAAATTATAATTATTTTGTCATGTTTTACACTGTCCGACATCTCTCGTCACCAACTTTCCTGTTGTCCGTCCAGGAAGGGAGTTATATGTAGAACCTTGTGATTGGTTCCCTCTACCTAATGGTTGTTAATCTACAAAAACTTCCAATATAGTTATAGAAAAAACCTTTGTATAAGTGGACCCATGCACTTCAATCCATGTTGTTTATGAGTCAGTTGTCTATGAAATATTAAGAGAAGAAATGCATACTGTTTGGGGCTGAATTTTCTAGTTGCTCTTATTATTTTAGTTGATCTGAGCCCTTAAGAGACTTGTATCTGAGCATCAGCAGCTAGCTGAGGTCGCTGGCTTCAAAAACATTAACAAAAAGCAAATTCGCTGTCATTGAGTAAATTCCTACTGATAACAACTCTATAGGACAGGGTAGAACTGCCCGTGTGGGTTTCTGAGACTGTAACTCTATGGGAGTAGAAAGCTCTTCTTTCTCACTCCAAGTGGCTGGCAGTTTCAAACTGCTGACCTTGCTGATCCCAGCCTAACATATAACCACTACAGCTTGTGTTTCTTTTCCCCTGGAAGTTTGTGTAACCACCAAGAATAAAAGCAGGAAGAAAAGGAAAGGGTGTGTGAAATAAGACTATCTGGATGGTCGCAAGAGCCAACCTATCACACGTGTGAACAGAGACAAGCTGTTTGACATTAATGACACTCTCCTTATGGCCATGTGGTTCCTCTCACCTTATTTGCTCCCAATTCTTTCAGGACAATTTTCTGAAATCACCCATTAGAGGAGCATGACAGTAGCCCATGGAATTCTATCCGAGATGAATGAAATAAGCAATTACTGAATGGCTGGGAGGGGAGGACATAGGTGATGAGGATAAACAGACTTAATGACGGGAAAGAGGCATTTGTCTGAATAAGCCAAGTGATTGCCACCACTCTGCTTTTCGCTCCCCGCTCCTTCTCAGGCAGCACCATCAACGTCTTTGATCAGGCTTGCACAGTTAAGAGACCAGAGACATGGAAACTCACATGATGAGAGGAGACTCTTCTCTTGGAAGTTCTATAAACATATGGACATGGATGCTTTCCTGCAGAGTGTGGGTTAACACACCGTCTGTAGCATGAGACAGACCTAGGTCTAAATACCAATGTCATTCAGAACCGGTGAAATGATCCCGTATAGGTTATCCAGGGTCTTTTCAGCAATTTCCACATCTGTCTCTCTGGATAAAAATTATCCTCACCAGACAGCGGTGCTGTGAAGCTTGGCCTAACGACTGCATAGTCCTCATTGCAGTGTGTGGCTCTCACAAGCGCACAGACTTTGATACAACGCACAGGAACATGATGGATTAGTGGTGATTCACAGAAAAGGTCATGAAAATGTTATTGAAGTGTGGAATTAAATTTTAGACTAACATCTCATTGGCCATTGACGCGTCCCACAGGGCATATTACTGTCCAAAGGTTTATGCTTTAGAAAGGGGCTGGGGGTGGGGAGATAAAGTAAAAACATGAAATTGAGAAATGAGGAGAAAGGAGGCAAAATAAAAGCAGCTGCAGCAAGCACGGAAGCCGGAAGACCAGCAGAAACCCGCCAGCGTGATGCGGACCGCCTAGTGCCCAGAGGTCATGAGTTCTCCTTTGGGGACCATCTTGATTTGCATTTTTAACAGGACAATTATTCCCCGAAAGCCCTAGTTTAACTCCTCACATGGAGCATTTTCCGAATAAATATCTAGAGATTCTGATGAAATTACTATTCCCAGTACACAAATTTATATCAATACACACTGCAATGACACGGGTGAAAAGGCTGAGTGGTTTTATACGTTGATGAAGTTACTATACATACCTCCACATATGTCATCTGTTTCATCATCTATGCATTCTCTGTCATCACATTCACAAAATTTTCCATAAACCAGTCTATTTCCATCAAGATTATCACACTTACATCTGCCACAGTGACATGTACCTAAGTCATTAAAACAAAGGAAAAAGGGTGTTTGTTATAGGAATATAAATGATAATTAGCACACTTTAATCCATCCATTTTAGGATGGTACACAGTTCAAATCAATCAATTTAATATTTCAATTATGCATTTCTAGGCCTGTGCAGAGATAGAGAATAAAATGTTTTGTGAGAGCATTATAGCGTAACAATTATGTTTTTATAGGGCAGTTTTTATTACTGACCTCTAAAAATTCCTTGAATGTAAATATGACCGTCCTAAATATACCTCTGCTTACATGTGTCCATTTAATCACTGCCTGCATGAACATCTTCTGATTACACCTGGGATTGACCTGAACCTAACCAGAAAAGTCAAATCTTTGACAAGGGCCGTGACCTTGCTTACCTTCCTCAAGAGTATTAATTCAATGATTTGCACAATGTCTGGGCATATGATTTCAATATGTGTTTGCAGAATGAATTCTTTAACAGCTGCATAAATGAAAAACATATGCCTTCTGAGAATTTCTCACTCCCAATGTTAACCTGAGCCAGATGTTCTCAAAAAAAAAAAAAAAAATGGATAAGAGAAAAAAAGTTTCTTTAGCAGAGTTTCCTAGGACCTCAGCGCTATCTCCGGGCAGGTTAGCGTGTGACCGAGGGATTGAGTCATCCCACACATCCGGTCAACTCTGAGGATTTGCTTATATTTCCCAAGAGCATTTTAACTGACAGCAAAACAGCATTCAAATAATATTGAAACGTAGAATGCTTACTTATAGAACGTCTTTTCTAATATTGTTAATGAATTATTGAAGCAATCATGTATATCAATTGAAGTTCTACCATTCACCAATCACCATAGTGTATTCTTAAAAGGCATTGGGGAATAAAGCCAGTCCTAACCCTCCTCTCAGAGTTTTCAGCGAGTGAAAACTCATGTGGTAAAATGAATGGATAAGTGCAAAGTGTACCAGAAGCTGATAGCAAGGGTATTTAATTGAGAGCTAGATGTCAATACAGTCCTGAAGGCAGTGTTTTTAAGCTTCAGAGCAAAGTTAAAAATAAATAAAGCTAGATAAAGGGAGAAGAAGAAGAGGTGCAGTTCAGCAAAGGATATATGAGATAAAAGGAAATAATGAAGAACAACTACCTGATAAGGCTTAAGTATCACATTCTTTAGAAACTCGCATACAATGAGGTTACACAAGGCAGCTAAGGGAGCTTCATGAAGATTTTAAGAGCCATGTCAACACTTCCAAATTTTAATCAAAGAATGGTAAGAAGAAATAAAAATGTTTTCAGCAATGGAGTCATGATCAGGTGTGCAGTTGTATAAGAGTACTCTGGTTGCCATATGGAGAACGAATGAACGAATGACAATGAAGCAAAAGTGACTTCACGGGGAGAGAGTTCAGAGCCTTTGACATCTGTGCGCAAGAAAGCAAGCAGAGGCTGAACGAGGGCTGTGGCAGCAAACTTAGAAAGAAGCAAGTGCACTTGAGAAATAATTTCAGGAGATGGAATTGGCAGGGCTTTATTACTGATTGCATTCAAGCTGGAAAGGATGAGGAGGAACTAAAAATGATGTTGATTTTTGCCTTGAAACTACTGGATATTGTCAATTTTGTATGGGGTATATTGGAAAGAACATGGGTGGATTAAAGTAGACTTTTAGTTGAATTCAGAATTTAGTCTCACTAGTTATGTTTCTAAAGTCATTACTTACATCTCAAATTCTCTGATTGCTTCTCTGCATATAATAGAGATGCTTTGAGAACCAAGTGATAAATATTTCACTCAGTCTAAAACACCCATGTGTCTGATACACAATACACTTTTTAAAAAATGTTGAGTGCTTCTTTTTGCCTCCCAAAAGCTACTGAATTAGTCAAAATTCCAAAACTTTTCCCCAGACTCATATGAGTAATGTTCTTGTTTTATATTCATTGTATGATTTCATTACATAGACCACTTTCAATTTGATATTAGCTATAAGAGTTTCTCTGCCAAAGTCATATAAGCATAGTCATTTTGTAGAATCTGAGTTTCTAATTTTTCTGTTATAAGAATATCCATGTGTATTCACTTTCATCAAATTTCATGTTCTTGTGTTTTCCCTTTGAAGTTAGTTATCTTAATTTTTTAAAGTTCATTTGAAATCTAATACTATAAGTGCCTTTTTCCTTTTTATGGGTAGGTTAATAAACCACTCACATGTTCAATTATTAGATATTCTTGTGTAATGATATTAACAAACTACTAGGTTCTATACTCACACAAACACACATACATACCTTGTTGTAGAATAAATTATGACTCATAGTGACCCTATCTAGTGTTTCTGAGGACATAAATCCTGACAAGAGCAGAGACTATACATTTTCTCCCATAGATCAGCTGGTGAGGTTGAACTGCCAACTTTGTAGTTAGCAATGCAATAGTTACTCAACAGCACCATCCAGTACCATCCAATGCAACTCTTACCAACAGTACCAGCCAATGCAACACTCACTCAACGGTACCATCCAGTACCAGCCAATGCAACACTTACACAACAGTACCATCCAATACCGTCCAATGCAACACTTACTCAACAGTACCATCCAATGCAACACTTACACAACAGTACCATCCAGTACCATCCAATGCAACACTTACTCCACAGTACCATCCAGTACCATCCAATGCAACACTTACACAACAGTACCATCCAATGCAACACTTACACAACAGTACCATC